GTAATGATGAGCAGAGACGTGTAAAGTCTTTTAATGTGACCGAATTCGGAGCGGGAGGGGCTGCTGACGATTCAGGTGGTTGGTCTTCATTGATTGACACGACTCCTCAGTGTCATTCCTGGTGCGATCTGCATGACACAGAGCGACGAATGTGCGCTAAGACTGTAAACAGACTGTAGAAACATACATTATTCAATTACTGTACTACAATGTAACTAAGTTTATTATTATTTTTTGCCTGATGTTTTGATCAAATGTAACATGCAACCGTTCGCAATTTTCATTATGTTATTTTTTTGTATTGCATTGGCGAGAAAAAATACATGGAAAATTAAGTTTTGAATGAATGCGGTTTGTATTCTTCTGCAGAAATAGCTGTCTGAAACGACGAAATGTGTAGTTAGCATGTGCTAGAAATGTTTCTTTCCTCACGGGTGCTGTAGGTTTATGTTTGAAGTTCAGTATTTTATCGTTATTGTTATTTAATGATCAAGTCCTTTGAAATAACGTAATTTATCATTTGCGTCTTTACATTCGTTTTTTAAATTTTCATTTTCAGCTCCTGTAATGTAATGTGCTTGAAGCCACCAAACTTTGTCTTTGGGCTTGACGGCTGAAGAATGTTGTGTCTCTTTTTTTTTCTGCATGGAATAAACCTTTACCTGTTAGTTTTTTTCTGTTGACAACTAACGCCTCGATTAATCTGCATTTCCAGTAGATTTTTCGAAATGTTGAATTTGCACCAGATGGTGGCGTTCTTGTACTACTTTTGTCTCTGATAATACCAAATCTAAATGAAGGCACTGAAATCATTCGGATATCATTCCTATTTCAGAATCCCATCTCCTGTATCCTTTAGAACAGTTAATAGGATCCCATCAGACAGTAGAGATTTATTCATCTTGACTGTTTCTAGCCCCTTAAACACTTACTGTATGTCTCTTATTTGCTATTAGTATGAAATATGAACTATACTGTATATAAAACTTTGTTATATTCATTTAATATATCAGCTATTTTTCTTTTTTTGTCTACCCTGGAAGCATTTTACTTTATCTTTCACTCTTTATTGCTGTTATAAATTATTATTAATTTATTTTTTATTTTTGCCTCAATTGATCGATTCTTTTAGACCATAGCTAGCAAAGTTCGTCTCATTAGCAATACTCCAGCTGTTAAATTTGTCTTAAAGTCCATTTTCTGAATAGATTTTGTGATATTTGGTGATACGTTAATGGAGAGAATATGTTTAAATTCTGTATTATTAAACCCATTGATTAAATAAGAATTTGGAAATCATGTTTAATCTAGTCTGTCATACAGTAGGTACAGTATGTTTCTGGAATACGAATGAGTTTGAGAGAGAATGTACTGTGTTAACAACCAAAAAAATTAGAGGGGCTGTGAAGGTTATCTTGTGTTTTAATCTCTTGTACAAAATACATTAACTCTGATGTTTTAATATACTGGTAACTAGATTATCAGCACCTGATACTGTTACTGTCAGCACCTTCCCTGACTGTGTTCTGTACTCATATTCACTCACTGCACACACGCTGTATGAGATCTAACACTGACAGAGGGGGTGGAGAGGAGTGTTAGAACTGTAACTATAACTGAGGGTTTTTGTCACATCTCCCCATAGAGCTGAAACACTGTGCCTCCACAGCGCAGAAATAGGTCCCTGAGTCTTCCAGCTGAGAGCTGCTGATGTTCAAAACCCCAGAGCTGTTGTTTTTTTCCAGTGAACCACTGAACTGGTTCTCTGTGCTCTTGTCTCCTCTTATGATCAGAACATTTTGTGGGCTGGTGTTGGGCTGCTGTCTGTACCAGTGCATGTAGAAGACATTAGAGATGGTGAAGGTACAGTGGATGGTTACTGCTTGTCCTTCAGTCTGGGTCACAAAGGGAGTCTGCGATACTTGTTCTTGAGAGCTCACATCTGTCACACAGAGAGATGCACACGTGATATCATTATTACCATTTACAAAGACCTCAGTTTTGCTACAGTACATGTCCTGCTGATGCCCAAACACAAATTAACAGAGCATATGGTAAATTTCATTTGCTTATCAACTCTTCAGTCTGTTTGTAGTTAACATAGATTTTGATACACTTCTATAATCACAGTCTATGAAAGTACCTGCACACCTTAAATCCATTTAAAATTGATTTTTAATTGTAATGTAATCAACATTATAGCATGTAATTGGATTTTACTGTGCAGGTGAGAAGGAATGGAAGTGACAGCAGTGAATACTTACAGTGTAAGAGTAGGGCTGTGCACAGCAGCAGACAGAACAGTCCTCTGTTGTGCATGTTGAAGTCGCTGTGGAGTCAGAAAGACGTGTGTGCAGTACTGTCTCCAAACTGCTCATCACACCATGTAGTCACTCCTATCTCCTGCTCATTGTTTCCTGTCTGAACATCTGAGAGCGGTCATACAGAAGACTGTGTATATTTTACAGAAATACTCCTAGAGAGTCTTATGTCTCTGACACCATCCTTCATGTTAGTGCCATTTGTAAAAGTTTGCTGTTGTACAGTTAACCATGATAAAAGCAAGGTTCAATACAGTATGTAGGACAGATTAGAAACAGGAGCAGAACATTTGGCTGAAATAGTTTGTTCAATTTATGGTGAAGCATTTAAATAACTGTTAAAGTGTGGTAAAAAGAGATATGGCTAACCAAATGAAAAATCTACAAAGTTACAGCATAACTGCTATGTATGACTGTTCAGTTCAATGTACCTCATTCCTGGTCCCAAAGAACCACAGAATCTACTGGTTTTTGTTTATGCAAATTTTTATTGACTAAATTGAACCATGTGTGACATTAATTGTTTAATTGCATCTCATTTTTTCCATTTTTTTAAAATCATCACAGTTTTTCAAATATACAGTACAGCAGTATTACAGTATGTTAATCTCGGGAGCTACCATACTGTTGTTGGCTGTGGCCGTCCATTTAGAGAGAGACATGTAATGACAGCTGACCTTCCACTAGAGGTCAATATACACCACATAAGCTACTGTACATCCAAATAGTCAAAGTAGGGATTGGTTGATGAAAGATTTAGGAATGCACATTCTCACATGGATGTTAATCAGCATTTTGGTATATAAAGGGTGTGTAGAGGGTTAGTGGTGTTGGGTGTTCTGACAGAAAGAGTTAGTTTGAAATAATGGCAAAATGGGTTCAGTTATCTGGTGAAAGGAAATCAGTTTTAAGTGACCTATTGGCTGTTGTACTCTGCACCTGACAAGGCAGTAGGGCAGTTCTTAAATCCTTCATCTGTGCATTAAATTACCATTACAAAAGAATAATTTTCAGTGAATATGAATTACAGGAAAGGCTGTGTGTACTGTAAATTAATATCTCAAACAGATGCACACTCTCTCCACCCAAAGTCATGCATCTACCAGAAATCTAACCACACATGTCGGCTCCCTATAATAACACTTGATAAAGACAAGAATCTCCTTTTGATCTCTGAACCCTCCCTGGAACTCAGCCCAGTGTTGGAACCTGAGTTTTTGTACAGCTTCTCAAGGCTTTTTCTACACCGTGTCCCATCTCAGAGCGCAGAAATAAATGGCTGAGTCACTCAGGCTGAGATCTGAAATTGTGAGGGTGGTGGAGCTTCTATCTGTTTCACAACTGAAATGGCCTTTAGCGAAGCTTGCAGTGTGCTCTGCACTTGATGTACCAGCTCCTTTATATAAAATATATTGCAGTGGGGTGTGAGGATACTGGCGATACCAGTACAGACGATAACCAGCACTGCTTGTGGAGTAAGAACATTGAAGAGACACTGATCCCTCTTCATCCCCAGAGACCTTTGTCTGCAGAGGAGAGATGGAGTCGCAGTGTACAGCAGCTGAAAAAGAATAGAAATTGCAATATGTAATTGTAATGCTACTGAATACAACAGCAAACACGAATCAGACTTATAATTAATGTACTGTAATATGTGAAGAGTACCTGGTGAGAAAATTAAAGTAATACAAATCACCAATAGAACTTCCATTTGAAGAGTGAAAGTGTCACTGCTGAAGGCAGGA